ATTAAAAATTCTAGCACAATCCGGGGCAATAAATCAATAATTGAGGATAAATTAAATTCTGGAACCGTCTAGATGCAACGGCTGCTCATATCAACCTTGATCTCGGCTTAAAAAAAAAAAATAAATAAATAAATAAATATCTGTTTTCCAACCTTTTGAGCCAATTAGCATACTCCAATGTTGTTAATGATTTACACTTTAGTGATTGTGACAATTACGTGGAAAAACACCGAACATTTTCAAAGTCAAACATCCCCACCATCCCATTACAATTAATAATCCATGTACCAATCTCTTTTTCCTTACAATACAAAATTACACTGTGCAGTGGTTTGCGTCCATTTGTACTAATAAATTGTATTCTAAATTACAAAACCTGGTTGTATATATATATATGAATGATCTCCTAAACACTAGTGCTTAACTTGTGTTAGGCATCGATAATATGGTATATCATTTAATTGATGAATCATTAAATACATAAGATTTACCATTAACTTATTCACCAATTAAATAGCTTGTCATGTCACAAAAAATTACAATCATCTCTATAATTTTTACTACTAAAATTTCTAGAAAATACAATGCCCAATTTTTGCCCCGTTTAGTCCCCATTCTTTTCAAATTTTAATGATTGAAATAGTTTTTTTTTTCGAAAAATGTGTAGTTGAAAAAAAATGAAAAGTTTTTGATTTGCATGTAATATTATTTTATGAAAAATCGTGCGGTTGAAAATAAAAGGGAGAATGGGATCAAACGGGTTATATCTTTTAGCCTTATCTTTGTTGAAAATTCGTATTAATTGTCACGTGCAATGAACGTGGCCCTCCTCGACTCTCTGGGGTTGGTGGTCCCCAGGGCTTTCTTTCCCTGTACATTACTCCGTTGACTGTACTCAACAATTGCAACAGCACCCTCCGACGTAGGGCAATGGGCAATGGTTGAGATGGAAAGGGCTCCCTTCCGCCCATTACTACATTTAAATCATTCGAACATTGACTAGAATATTTTATTATACAAGTTATCTATAAAAGTGTGATGGATCTTTGGAAGAACGGATTGATCGGACGGGAATAAAGATAGAGTCCCATTCTATATTTCAACATCGAGAGAGAAATTGTTTTGGAAAATTTAGATGTGAATATCTCCATGCACGATCAGATGTACTATACAAACATATTTGTTACATAGTACAGAACAAGTTTTCTTGAATTCCAGGGCAAACTAGTTGTCTCTCTCGAAATTGGCAAGGACTAAGACTAGGACATGGAAATCTTAACCAGTGGAACAATCAAATAGCCATAAATTTGTATTGAGAATTGAGATTTGCTGTCTAAAATTAAATGTCCTACTCGCTATCCACCAATGATTTATTGAGATATTATTTTACACATATTTTTAAGCACACGTGGCAATGAGAGAAAAGTTGAACTTGAACACGTTAATTTAAAGTGATGTGTCAATAAATCATTGAGTAAACAACAAGTTGGACAATCAATTTTGAACAACAAAATTCAACTCCTTTACTAGTATTAACTCTATCCTTTTTGTTATGTTTTGTGGTTTCACTCTCCTTTAAGATGATTCGTGTGTAACCAAGTTTTGGCATCGATCGTATTCATGAACCTTCACAAAGGTTGAATTGGTCTTCTTAAGACGTGTACTTAGCACTTTGTGTACAAATTATTGGGATAAGATGAGGCACTTATAATTTTTTTTTTCTTTTTTTTGGATTGAAATGTATGAGATAATGATGTGACGAGAAGTTTACATTGGTGACTAAACAATACTACAAAACTTGACCGATCAAATAGACATTATGGGATTTAGAGTCAATAACATGTCCAAGCATGCTACGCCATCCGCGTGGATGATTGCGAGGATGATCGCGCTCGCTCATATGGAAGGTCGGAATTATTTTATTCGCACAGAACCCATGCATCCTATGTGAGGGCACGATCATCGGGAATGTCATCCATACGGGTCGAGTAGCATTACTCTAACATTTCACGCAAATATGCCATAGAAGCCCATACTTGCGCAAAAAAGACTCCTTTCATACTTTCAACACTTGAAGCATCACGATGCAATCCAAAGTCCACGATAAATTTGAGGTGGCCTTGAACTTTTACTTGACTAATACTGATTGTCTTTCGAGCCATCTTAGTCCATTGAAATTTACTCTCTTCAAAGCAATCGATGCATGTGTTTGATTTGTGAGTTTTTCGTAGGTTCACTCACTAGCAAGGTTCATCTATACGGTTAACCTCTGTTTGATGCCCATTGTTTTAAAAGTCTTTTTGCTACATGATCATTTTCAACCAAATATTTACACAATAAAATATCCTGCAATACCCAAAATTTTTCACTACTTTTTAACCACATTTTTTTTTTTTTTTAAATAATGGGCACCAAACATTGGCTTAGTCGGAGGATAGTATTGAGTTGTTAAAAACTTGTTTCATTGCTATACTAACAGACTTTCTTAGAACACGACTACATACAATCTAAATTCACAACGAATAGTATACTCCATCATCAAGATAGCCCCATTTTCCGTAATCTTTGTAGAGTCACCTGAACGCACAAACTCATGAACGTAAGAGATCCGCAATAACCATTTATCTGTTTATTCCAGACTCATTGGCCAACTTGATCGTCTAAATGTAATAGAAGAGGCATCACACTGGATGTGTCTAACTTATGTCTTATCGTCTAGAAAGAAATTGCCTCATCTACAAGTAATTCAAAGAAAGTCTTATCATCTACGTCACCAGCTAAAGAAGTGTTAACTTGCAACAAGAAAGGCAAATAATTGTTGGGAAGAAAAGTAGACAAGCATTGAAAGCTACGTCTCGGCCAAGAGGATCTGACTGTAGGTAAAAGAAGCCGAAAGAATCAAGCTACATGTACATGCCTTTCACACAAGGGGTGGGGCCCGTGCATTAAATGCGCCGGAGCCCACTCCCCTCATGTGAGGGGAGTGTATACCGAACTGTCAAGCTCGTTGTACAAATGGCTTGAGCCGAAACGAATTCCCACTTCATAATTTGGTGCTCATGGAAAGTCATTTTGAGAAGTAAATGGTCCCACTATCATCAGTGTTTCAATATTCGATCGTACCAATCAGTTCGTCTGAAAGAATTGGTAACATGTCTAATGAAAAGTAGAAAGGAAGAAGAGAAAAAATAAAATTTCTTTTATCACTTATTGGACTCTTGCTTTGATCCTTTAATCCATTTCAGGTCATCGTCTGGATTGATTTTCATGGCTAGCTATGTCCATACTATGAAATGACTACACTCAAGATTCATGATACAAGGATATGACAATCAAATTCAGCATCAGCAACATTAAACTACTCAAACACTAAAGAAAACAAATTGAACACAAAAGAAATAATCCAAAATTAGAATAGAAAATTTTCACAAAACCAAGTCAATATACACCTTCATCTTCAAATTCACAAGTTGATCAAATGTCCCCATATTGCTTGCATATTCCTTGAACCATATTCTTGAAATAAAAAATGTTCAATTGATCCGAAAATAAAAAAGAAAAAGACCCAAAAAAAAGATCTTATTTCTTATTTTATTTTTATTTTCACATTTCACATGTTTTTAAAGAAAAATCACTTAGACATTTTCACGTACCATGGATTCGCACACAGAAGCCAACTTCTGTAGATTCAACTTCACAACAGTATCAGCAAAAAGGCGCGTGTCCTCTTCAGTATTCCCTTCTGGTACATCCACAACGTACGATTCCAAAACAACGGTCCAGATCGTCCCCTCACGTTTCACCTCGTGAACAGTCGTCACTGACCGGTAATTCCTCAATCTATGCTCCCCACCAATTATGCTAATCCCCGTGACATGCCTGTTATTAACAGTAAGAATCTCACATCATCTAAATACGAATATAATACTCAGTTATATGCTTCAGTTAATACCTGTCATCGTCCAATAAATCGAGCCTCTCCGTGCTGGTTGTAGCCGGTAAACCGGAGATGACCGTGACATCTCTAAGGTCACCGATGGTCATGCTAAAGTTTTCTCTCACGCTGCAACTTTTGATAAAGTGTTTGTATGTGTGGGGCTTGTCGAAGCACCGGACCACGGACCAGACGGTTTCGAGCGGCGCGTGGACTCGTTGGGCTAGAAGGGAAGAGCATTGGCCTGAGTTGACTCGGTAGACGTGGAACTCGGTGATTGCTTGTTTGAGATCTTCGAACTCATCATGAGTCAAACCGGGTGGGAGTGTGAGATGGTGGGCCGAGAGGATTTCATCTGATGATGATTCTACTACTGATTCTTCTTCACCTTGCTGTTGTTGTTCCATTGTTAAAGTTTGAGGTTCAACTTTCTCCATCATAAAGAAAGAGAGCACAAAGGTGGGGAATATAATGGGCAGAAGATTGTGGCAGTGTAAATATTACTATTATAAATGGAATAATTGGTGGTGGGTTGAGAATATATTTGTATATTTTTGGCTGTTTTTGGCCTTTCCTTTGTGGTGAGGGTGGAGCGTAGGGGGGACGTGGGGACTGAAGCATGTTAATGGAGTGGACGCAGTAGGCCCGGCATGTTTGGCTAACCCTAAAAGGAAAGTAAGTTAATTTTAAGTAATAAATAAATAAATAAACACGGTAAATGACTTATAAGTTGATCAAACCTCAAATAAAACCACTTGATAGGCCTTTCATTGGTTTTAAATTTAAAGATAGAGATACAACATGGTAGGGTTGAATCGAATCTGAGCGGCCATCACTAGCCCATCATGTCGAAGATTTTCAAGAGACGTGTTAAATGGAATGAAAATAGGATTATGCTACACAAATAGGGTTGGTGATAAGCTTTGGTGACAGGGTGATATGTATCGGTCATTGTCCAACAGATTGAAAAAAATCCAAACAAATGCTGGCACGCAAGCGTCTATTAGTCTTTCCTATCACCAACCTTGGCCAGGTATTTTTACTCATGAAAATATTTTTAAATATCATTTCGTTTAATTAGTAAATAATTTTTTAATATTAGTTTTTATTTTCTTATGACAATTTATATTGAAAAATGATAGAATAACATGTATTAAAAGACTCGGGGGTTTGGGAATTTCGGAATGGAGAGGATGTTCTCTTTCCGTGCACACGATGTTGCGAGACAAGTCTAGAGTATAGAATTTTTTTCATCCTTGTTTTTAGATCTCCATGTATGGTCTGGTGCTCATTTTGATGAATTATATTCCGAATCCAATGTTGACAGAGTTATTCACATGAAATTAGTTTTTGAGTACTGCTAAATTTTTTAAAATTTCTTTATACCCGTATTAGTTAACTTGTACTGGTCACAAAAAAAAAAAGAAAAAAAGAAAAAAAAGAAAAGAAAGAGAAATTAGGATGTTCGATTATTCACATCTTGGTCTAAAACTGATAATCGAACCAAATTCGAGGATTTTTTTTATTATAATATCCATTATCGAACTTAGTTTAGAAAATGATCGAACCAAACACGAGAGTCCAGCCCTATCCCCATGCTAAGAAGCTGTTTTTTTTCTTTCAAACTAAGTAAGTGAAAGGCAATTTTTTGGCAAAATATGTTTGGTAAATGTTAGTGGGTTGAGAGACACTTTGATCAGCTTTTAGCTTAGCCAAACGTGCTTTCTCCACCCACACCTCCCTTCTATATGTATTAGTTCTTTTTGTTTTGGAATATTTTGAATATTGTAAAAAGTGAGGAGTTAATTGTTTCAATAATCACGAAATTTAGGTTGAAGTCTTCGATTGCTCACTGCAGTTTCAAATGTTGAGTTTTGACTACTCAACTTCTTATAATGTGGAACGTTACTCACTGGAATGACTTCAATTTCGCAGCTTTAACAAAATAGCTAACATGGTAGAGGGATTGCACAGTTGGCGCCCAATCACAGAAGAGCACTAGCCACTTAAAAAAGACGTCTTTAATTGCTCACTATACTTTAATAAACTTTTTTTTACCTAGGTGGTCGAATTTTTGACACTAAACTTTTCAACCCCAAAAATTCCCAAATTCTTCCCCCCCGATCCCTACCCATTTATTGTGAAGAAGAAGGCTATAAGGCTCCTACCCAGTCCATCGACTAAGTAGAAAGGATGAGTGGAAAATTTTAGTAAATCGAGCCCTACGATTTTTGGCGAACCTTAAACCACCGGGGATTAAAAATTTCAAATGTCGCACAATAGAGGATCAGATACAGTTAAACATATAAGGTGACGCAATTTTATTTTATTTTAATCCAAATTTGACATGTAACTTCTGTAGATTTTTCATTTGATTTCTAGTTTTGAAATTATTGGTTGGTTTGTGCAGCACCTAGCAAATGACCTTAGTATTGATGACAACGAGTGGACTTTCATAACAGCTCGTCAGAAGGGCATTCAAAACGTGTTTGACAATTTGTTTTCGGCTACATCGATTTTGTGTAAGACACATGTATCAGAATTTTTTCAAAACGGGTTTTAGAGAGAGAATTTTGAAGGACTACTTGTGGAAAGTTACAATGGCAACAAGTGTTGTGGATTGCTTGATATGGATGCAACAAATTGTTTTGAACAATGGTTGCGAGGTTTTCAATAAAACCTCGATGTATTACAAAGAGAAGTCCATGCTTGCAATGCTAACTTTCATTCAACTTACCTTGACGGATGACATGTTTTTTGTTATTTTTTTTAGTGTAATTATTACCTCCAGCCTCATTTTTTAAAAATATTTGTTGGTAGATATTTTTTGAACGTACTTACTAATTTTAGTTGCAACGTGATTAATATTTTTCTTTTAATTCTTGATTTTGACATTCTTTTCTTTTTTGTAAAATTCAATCCACTTGACTTTTTATATACCAAATACTACAAACCATTCATTCTCTCGCAAAAAAAGAATGCTGAAACAACCAAGTCATTCTAACCATAAATTTTTAAAGCAAACGTGTTTTTGAAGAGCCCATGATAATTCTTAAATTTTTATATAATTTTGACATCAGTTTCAGAACTTTATTGCCCAAAACTCCTCTCTTTAAGCTATAATGAACAATCTAAGTCGTCCGCTAAAGAATAGCAAACAATCAAAGGTGTCAGCCAAAGTATAATGAACAATCAAAGACGCATTTTTTTTTTTTTTTTTTTACAAGGTGTCCAATTCTTGACTAATCCTTGGGTCTGTGATCCGGCCCCTCTTCACACAGTCCGGTTAATCGCAGGATGTGCCTCCGACTGGCCAGGGTCCGAGCGCTCTCCACCTGGTCTGACAAAGTGCCAAGCAAGCCAATCCAAGTTGCACCTTGCCTTCCAAGAATAATCCTTGCCTTCCAAGTTCCCACTTGCCCAAGAATAAATCCTTGCCTTCCAAATGTTCCCTTGCCTTCCAAGAATAAATCCTTGCCTTCCAAGAGCCCCATGTTTCGAACTCACGACCTCTGCTCTGCCAGGTTTGACAGCGTCCGTCCTTTGCCAGTGGAGAAGTGCCCTGGGGGGCACAATCAAAGACGCATTTTGTTATGTGGCCAGTTGCTCTTTTGTAATTGGACATTTAACGATGATGGGAGATCAATTGTGCAATCTTCCTTCCATGTTATCCCAATAAGTAGCTTTCGATATTTTGAAAAGTTTAGTAACCAATACTCAACATCTAAAATTGTAGTGAGCAATTAAATACACTAACTGACATGACCAAGTGTGCCCCATACTCGATCTCATAGATACCCAAAAGGATTATTCCTGAGCCGGACGATGGAAAGGTACGAGAAAGACAGGACCTTGCACTGGCTTTGGCATCAGGAGCTGAACAAGGCCTTTGTCCAATAGCAACGGAAGGATCTGGCTCTTAAATTCAATAATTATTGCGACAATTAACTCAAATAACATCATTAAAAAAAAAAACACTCATAAAATTGATTTCGTTGTGAATACATTTTTATTTGTTTTTTTGATTTCCATTTCAGAAATTTCCTTCTTTTTTTGATTTCCATTTCAGAAATTTCTCGATCTATCCTTTCTATAATCGCATTTGTTCTTCTCTCTGAAAAGTAACTATCGTTTTTTCATTTTTTTTTAATTCGCTTTATTATTTTTTAAGAAATTTATTTCTACATTATAGATTTGTACCTTTTTTTTTTTTTTATATGTTAAGTTCACTTATGAAATTGGTCAATGTTTTTTTAATAATATTAACAGTGATTGATATTTCCTGGGATTGATTCATAGCAGTGGGTGAATG